TGGAACTAATATTATCTGGCTGCGTCGAGAACACCGGTGTTAACGGAAGAACAAGTGCTGGGGTATAAGTCACTACAGCACGACAGCTCCTTCTTTGCTGTCTAATTATCAATAGCTCAAGCGTTGATAGTGACAGACTCAATGAGCATGCTTAAGAAGATCCAGACTGGCAGAATCTCATGAAAATTGAATGACAGAATCCAGAAGTGCCACTGCGAGAAGCTAACTTGGCTGGACACACCTGAACACGCCTGGGTGAAGTGGAGGAAAAAGTATGGCCAGTGCAGACATACTTAAGGGTCCTTGTTCCAGAGACTTTGAGACAAGGAGTCAGAGACGACGGACAGCCGGCTGGAAATACGTCTTGGACAAGGACAAGCATGTAGACACCTGTTGCTGGGCACATACAAAAGATATAACAATCATCTGGGTACATTCAGCATGGGGACGTTGAGGTGGCTGTCGCCTCGGAGCGTGGAGCTCGAATGATCAGGCTGATGTGCTGGGATGTCGATACGGACAAGTAACAAGTAGTATGTCCATCAATGCTGACCTGTTGTCCGTCTTGTATTTCCTGAAGCAAACTTGGGCACGACTGCTACCCTGGTTAGTTTTCCTTCCTGGTTTGGGATCCTTTAGAACACCTTCGATTCGCTTACCACAGTAGCATGCTTTCTGATTCATTAGAACACTTCCGGATATGGGGGGGGGGGGAAGGGGGAGGAGGGAGGGTCATGATATCTGCACAAAAGAAGTCTGAAGTAGACTTGCTTTATCAATGCATAGATTCAACAACGTCAAGAACCTATAGCACAGCAGCTGCAAGAGGGTTCAAGTGAAAAAGTGGAGCTCACTGTTTTATTGTGTCTTTCATCGTCTCCTGTACTTCTGTGAGTGCTGATCAAGGCTTTCCAAGTTATTGAACATGATATTTGAGATGTATCCTTGTTTTGTGTCGTCACTCTATTAACAAGTTGAAACACCTCGACATTCCACAAAATCTCTAGCATTGGAAAAACTGTCTCATAAACAGCACCATATCTCGGAGAATGAAATACTTAAGACATAGTAAACGACCCTGTGGTTTAGGATCTTAACTTTTGAATGCAAAGCACGTGTGTGGTCCGAAGGTTTCGGGTTCGAATCCTAGTCGGGTTTAAAAAAAAACAAAAAACTGTGAAGTAAAGGCGCCCATTGAGTGCATGTTAGTCTATAAAAGTATACTTGTGAGGTGAAGGCCTTGGTGTCTTTGAGCTAGACGGACTGTGCAGGTAGAAAGTTTTGCCCAGATATTAATCACAAATACTGTGCCAGATACGCCACAGGCATTAAAAAGTGTCTTTTATTTCCCTCAGAACTGGAGAAGGGAAAGGATTAACTTTCACAGTATCAGAAAGTTGGTTTCTGGGAGAAGGGAAAGGATTAACTTTCACAGTATCAGAAAGTTGGTTTCTGGGAGAATGGAAAGGATTAACTTTCACAGTATCAGAAAGTTGGTTTCTGTGAGAAGGGAAAGGATTAACTTTCACAGTATCAGAAAGTTGGTTTCTGTGAGAAGGGAAAGGATTAACTTTCACAGTATCAGAAAGTTGGTTTCTGGGAGAATGGAAAGGATTAACTTTCACAGTATCAGAAAGTTGGTTTCTGTGAGAAGGGAAAGGATTAACTTTCACAGTATCAGAAAGTTGGTTTCTGGGAGAAGGGAAAAGGATTAACTTTCACAGTATCAGAAAGTTGGTTTCTGGGAGAATGGAAAGGATTAACTTTCACAGTATCAGAAAGTTGGTTTCTGGGAGAATGGAAAGGATTAACTTTCACAGTATCAGAAAGTTGGTTTCTGGGAGAATGGAAAGGATTAACTTTCACAGTATCAGAAAGTTGGTTTCTGGGAGAATGGAAAGGATTAACTTTCACAGTATCAGAAAGTTGGTTTCTGGGAGAATGGAAAGGATTAACTTTCACAGTATCAGAAAGTTGGTTTCTGGGAGAATGGAAAGGATTAACTTTCACAGAGATGAAAAGGGCTAAACTTTCATAATTCTAGAAAGTTGGTTTCTGGGAGAAGGGAAAGGTACTTTACTTCCTTGTACTGGAAAACCTGGTTTCTGGGAGGAGGAAGAGGTGCCAAGCTCCTGCACTCTCATCAAGGAGGCAGCGAAGGTGTAGACTGATGAGAATGACCAGAAAAAAATTCTACGACAAGTCAATAACTTATATTTTTTATTTCATTGTGAATGAAAACGTCAGAACATGCCAAGTCTGTAGATGACGGGGCAAACACTAGGGTACTGTGGTCACAAGAAAAGCGTTCGTTTCAGGCAAACACACACACACACACACACACACACACGCATATAGACATAAGACACAAAGACACACACACACACGCCTACCAGAACACCCTTACTTTGAAAAACAAAACATTTGGTGCTTCCCCCTCTCCCCACAAACACACGCACACACGCACACACACACACACACACACACACACACACACACACACACTGACATACACCGATGAAAGTATCGTACAGATTATGTCGGCATACTGTTGCGAGGAAGACATGTGACATCGTTGTGACAACTGACAACTTTCATGCCATACGAGCCAATGAAAGACCAAAAAAAAAACGTGGATGATCTGATTTTGTTCGGTGGCATCAGAGGAGAATGAACACATGCCTGATTCAAACCTGAAGATGATGTGGGATGAACACATGCCTGATTCAAACCTGAAGATGATGTGGGATGAACACATGCCTGTTTCAAACCTGAAGATGATGTGGGATGAACAGCAAACGTGCAGACTGATGTCTTGACGTATATTTGTGTTGAGTATGAATGAAGGCAAGTGCCTGAACTTGTAGAAGTTGTCCCATACCGTCCACACAATTAAAAAGAAAACAAACTTCCAGTGCCGTCACAAGCATAATTCTAGATGTGCTTACATCTGTCCCTCAGGAGCCCAGTCGTTAGAGAGTATTACGTAAACGAAAATGGTTGTCATTAGCTTTGTGTGGAAATGTATGGGACGCACCGAGTAACGAAAAAAAAAAAAAAACAGAACAACGTGGAATGTTTAAAACTGTAGTCGTACGAAAGAGACTACCATCTGGGTGTCAAAGGTTAGACCTGATATTCAAGGCTATAGCACAGCCAGGTGAGGTGGCCAGTGCCTGGTCATCCAATGACTTCCCATTTCATTAAAAAACATGTTTTTTTTTTTCATCCAATGACTCCCCATTTCATTAAAAAACATGGTTTTTTTGTAGGAGCCTTAGTGCTCGTGCCTGTCCACTGCCTTCTGTTTCCTGCACTGTCAATCCTAGCTGATACAGATCTTCGCCACGCCATGACGCTAACATCTCCAGCAGCTTCTCTCCTGGTCTCTCACTGCCTCTCCTACCCTCCTGTCCTGCTATTACCGACTGACCAGTTATCTTTTTCATGTTACCATCTTTTCTTCTTCTTTTTCTTCTTCTTCTTCTTCTTCTTCTTCTTCTTCTTCTTTCTTTCTTTCTTTCTTTCTTTCTTTCTTTCTTTCTTCTATTTCTTTCTTTCTTTTCTTCTTTCTTCTTCTTTCTTTCTTCTTTCTTCTTCTTTCTTCTTTCTTTCTTTCTTTCTTCTTTCTTTCTTTATTTATTTCTTTCTTTCTTCTTTCTTTTTTTTTTCTTTCTTTCTTTTCTTTCTTTCTTCTTTCTTTCTTCTTTCTTCTTCTTTCTTTCTTCTTTCTTTCTTCTTCTTTCTTTCTTTCTTCTTCTTCTTTCTTTCTTTCTTTCTTCTTCTTTCTTTCTTTCTTCTTTCTTCTTCTTTCTTTCTTTCTTTCTTCTTCTTTCTTTCTTTCTTTCTTTCTTCTTTCTTCTTCTTTCTTTCTTTCTTCTTCTTTCTTTCTTTCTTTCTTTCTTTCTTCTTTCTTTCTTTCTTCTTCTTCTTCTTCTTCTTCTTCTTCTTCTTCTTCTTCTTCTTCTTCTTCAGCCCCCACCCCTTCCTCAATCCGTTGCTTTTACAGGCTGTAAACTCTCACTTCTAAACTTTAGTCTAGCTCTAAATCCTGCATTCGACATGTACATCCGTTTTACAGTCATGGCTTATTTGTATGTTGTGTGCTGATTTCTCCCCTCTCAGGCAGATGCACCCCGACTACAAGGAAAAATCCCCAGATAGTTGCCTTTTACGACATGCTTGTTAGTGGGTCTATTTATTATTTTCCCGAAAATAGGGTCCCAGAACCCACACGGAGAGAATGTAACAGAATAACCGAATGAAAGAAACAATCAGCAATTGTTGCAATGCTCATAAATACCACTGTACATTCATGAACAAATGATACTGACTTGTTCGACACCTAGTTTGTGGAAACTTTGGCAGACTCAAGTGGAGTAAGCAGTCAGATATAACACTACACAAACTGACCATGCATAGAAGGAATAGAGGAATGAAAACGTTCGTTTGTATTTGTGCGTTTTTGCGTTCGTTTTGTGTTAAGTTAAACAATGGTTGCGTTCAGCTAAACTTTGGTTTTGGTTCAGCTAAACTTTGGCTTAGCTCAGTTCAACCTTGGTTGTAATCGCGGCGAGCCAGTGCTTTACATGAGGCTAATTTGTATTCGCCAGAACTTGGAACCACTTGACCTCATCGCGAGCATTGTCGAAATTGAGAATAATGTCGCGAGAAGAGATGGATTCCACCATCATCACCACCATCATCATCATCATCATGCTGATAAACTTAATACTTAGCCTCTGCAAGTGTGCCAGAGGTTGGCACTATTTTCCCACCTCGGTGGTACGTGAAAGACATATTTTGCACAACTCATATAGAGAACACGTGACAGTGTTCAGAATGAGTGTTATTTGTTCTCCGAAGAAAGAACAACTCGTCAGAAGTCCTGTGTGCACCAAGCTAAACTAAATCACGGAAATAAATTGATGTGCAAAATGCTCTGTAACACAATTATAACAATCAGTTTAAATACACAAGCATGTCTATGAAACAATTACCTAATAATCATGGAATATTTTTCCTTTCTTTAACAAGTCATGTACGAAGCTCGGACAATGATAACCGAAAAGCGTGTAGTCTGGGGAGTAAATTTTGAACAGGCTGTTTAGTTCAAGCGGTGTGATTTCACTGTAAATTTTAGTCAATTCACTTTGTGACACAGCTTTTGTGTCCGTTACGTAAGGAGGCTTCACAGATTTTGACGCTTTCAACTTGTCTATAACGGATCTGGTGTCTTTCTCCGCCTGTTCAAATGTGCCCACAAAGTCGTAATCGACTAGACAAGGGTGACACTGCTTGTAGTACTGTTCCCAATGTTCGTTTAACGCCTCCGCCCCTGAATGCTCATTGTCAATAATAAATTTTACAAACTCGGAAAACTTCACGCTGGTTCCCTCCTTGATCTCCGCCGCTGTTGCCTTCTTTCTGTATTTTTTTATGATGGGCGAACCGTAGGCCCGATGGAAGTACTTGGAGCTTTTGCTGACAAACTTGGTGCGGTAGGCGATCACAAGGCGCTCTAGAGGGTCCCGGACAAATATAACTTTAAAATATTTCTTCAGCATTTCAGCTCGTTGCTTGTCGCTGTACTCGTCTAATCTTTTAGGCAGCTTGGCGTATTTGCCATAAACATCCCCGCCGGTAATTGTCTCAATGTTGGTGGTGTTGACTACACCGCTGAGAACCAGCATTATTTTCCTCCACTCGTTGATGGCAACGCCTGGGATCTGGCAGAAGAGGAGCTTGTGGCGCTCGTCCACAAGTATAGAGTTGAGTTTTCCTTTGGGGATCTGCTCGTATGCCACCTTGTGTGGGTGTTGCTGTTTGCAAAAGTGGCGTAAGTTGGCCTCTTTACTGTCTAGAGCTGGTGGGTTGAGAATGTGCTGATCCAAATGAGATGGGCGAGGAGATTCAGGTCCGGGGTTGATATTGTGGGAAGATTTTTCTGCTGATGATACATCCCGGGCATGTCCTGGGAAAGGGTTGTGAGCCTCTAACACCTGAGGAAAGTTGAAAACAGTGTCACTACAGTTGTTTGCTTCATGTATGAAAGATGAAGGAGTAATATGATTATATGTGTATGTGTGTGTGTGTGTGTGTGTGTGAGAGAGAGAGAGAGAGAGAGAGAGAGAGAGAGAGAGTGGTGTGCGCGCGCGTGTGTGTATGATTGTAGGAGAGAGAGAAAAATGTGCGTAGGAGAGAGAGAGTGAGAGAGTAATAGATAGGGGGTGGAGGGAGAGAGAGCGAGAGAGTAAGGGAAGGACTAACACTTCCTCCTTAAGTGTGTACCAGAATCATGTCGTATGAGTTGTCAGACAGGCCAGGCTACATTCACCTTCATAATGAGTTGTCAGACAGGCCAGGCTACATTCACCTTCATAATGAGTTGTCAGACAGGCCAGGCTACATTCACCTTCATAATGAGTTGTCAGACAGGCCAGGCTACATTCACCTTCATAATGAGTGTCAGACAGGCCAGGCTACATTCACCTTCATAATGAGTTGTCAGACAGGCCAGGCTACATTCACCTTCATAATGAGTTGTCAGACAGGCCAGGCTACATTCACCTTCATAATGAGTTGTCAGACAGGCCAGGCTACATTCACCTTCATAATGAGTTGTCAGACAGGCCAGGCTACATTCACCTTCATAATGAGTTGTAAGCCTCCACGAGTTTATTTTTATACACTTTTTAATATTATCAACACATTAGATGGTAGGATGGCGTGCACGCACACATACCCACACACACACTCACACAATACAAACACACACTCACACAGCCAGAGGGAAAGAGAAAGAGAGAGATAAAGAAAGAGAGAGAGAGAGAGAGAGAGAGAGAGAGAGAGAGAGAGAGAGAGAGAGAGAGAGAGAGAGAGAGAGAGGGCGACTCAGACATACAAATACAAACACATTAGCTCACCTGACTGAGCTCTGGATTCAAAGAGATGTTACTCATACGTACACCTGTGGAAATAATGAACGTAGAAACAATGAACACATTCAAACCACCTGTCTGTCTGTCTGTCGGTCGGTCGGTCGGTCGGTCGGTCGGTCGGTCGGTCGGTCGGTCGGTCGGTCGGTCTGTCTGTCTGTCTGTCTGTCTGTCTGTCTGTCTGTCTGTCTGTCTGTCTGTCTGTCTGTCTGTCTGTCTGTCTGTCTGTCTGTCTGTCTGTCTGTCTGTCTGTCTGTCTGTCTGTCTGTCTGTCTGTCTGTCTGTCTGTCTGTCTGTCTGTCTGTCTGTCGCGCCCTCTCTGGTAACAACAAGACAGGCTATATTCTGTGAATTCAGAGAAGACTCTACACTCAACTCTACATCAGTAACGACACACTGGGATGTTGAACTGAGCACAAAGCTATTGGCCTGATTGTGGGATGTTGAACTGAGCACAAAGCTATTGGCCTGATTGTGGGATGTGTAACCGAGCACAAAGCTATTGGCCTGATTGTGCGATGTGTAACTGAGCACAAAGCTATTGGTCTGATTGTACGATGTGTAACTGAGCACAAAGCTATTGACCTGATTGTGGGATGTGTAACTGAGCACAAAGCTATTGACCTGATTGTGCGATGTGTAACTGAGCACAAAGCTATTGACCTGATTGTGCGATGTGTAACTGAGCACAAAGCTATTGACCTGATTATGGGATGTGTAACTGAGCACAAAGCTATTGACTTGATTGTGGGATGTGTAACTGAGCACAAAGCTATTGGCCTGATTATGGATAGAAAATTAGCTTTCATTTGTCATGTGCAACCTCTAGTGAAACAATAAGCTACCAGAAAAGTAAACCGACTAACAAAAACTAAAACTTTCTGGATGAAAACACCAGAAGGATATTCCATACATCCAGACCCATCTAGACTACTGCTCCACAATATGGGATGGCTCTTCCAGTTGAGTCATGAAACCGCACTTTAAGCTTAGTCAGTTATAAACATTGAAGTTACAGTTCCAGTTCATATAATGCTCCTAAATTATTACCTCTTCATAAACGACTACTTTTCAATGAGGCTAAAGTTAGTGATAAAATCTTATTTAAAAAATGCTCCAGATTACCTTTGGCCATTGTTTATGTATAATGGGCGACACAGCGAAAGGTTAAACGTAGTGCACATCCGTAAACCTAGATTAGACTTTTACAACAAAGCTTCGCGCACCCTGCAGCGTATCTGTAGAACTAACTACCAATGTGGTATCTGTAGAACTAACTGCCAATGTGGTATCTGTAGAACTAACTACCAATGTGGTATCTAAAGAACTAACTACCAATGTGGTATCTGTAGAACTAACTACCAATGTGGTATCTGTAGAACAAACTACCAATGTGGTATCTGTAGAACTAACTACCAATGTGGTATCTGTAGAACTAACTACCGGTGTGGTATCTGTAGAACTAACTACCAATATGGTATCTGTAGAACTAACTATCAGTGTGTTATCTGTAGAGCTTACTACAAATGTGGTATTTGTAGAACTAACTACCAGTGTGGTATCTGTAGAACTAACTACCAGTGTGGTATCTGTAGAACTAACTACCAATGTGGTATCTGTAGAACTAACTACCAGTGTGGTATCTGTAGAACTAACTATCAGTGTGGTATCTGTAGAACTAACTATCAGTCTGCTATCTGTAGAACTAACTACCAGTGTGGTATCTGTAGAACTAACTACCAGTGTGGTATCTGTAGAGCTAACTATCAGTGTGGTATCTGTAGAACTAACTACCATTGTGGTATCTGTAGAACTAACTACCAATGTGGTATCTGTAGAACTAACTACCAGTGTGGTATGTGTAGAACTAACTACCAATGTGGTATCTGTAGAACTAACTATCAGTGTGGTATCTGTAGAACTAACTACCAGTGTGGTATCTGTTGTTTGTTTTAGTATCCAGAAGCCATGAGTTGTTAACCCTTAGGCTCGGTATTATGGATATCGCAACCTTTCGGTCTTGATTCCATTGTAAATACCGTAAATATGGGAGAAAATGTGGCTTTCCTGCCTACCCCCGGGATTGAACCCGGACCACAAGAAGTTCGTCACCCGGTCTCCGCGCAATCCGGTTTAGCCAACTACGCTAGAGACCTGGGCGTATGGTATCTGTAGAACTAACTACCAATGTAGAGCCGACTGGGCTCAATAAATATAACTCTCCATGTGCAGGAAAGAGATAATCAGAATAAAAAGTATTTTCGTTCGCCGAACAACGGACGCACACAATGACAATCTGATACATTCATTGAACGCTTAGGTGCCACAGCAGTAGTTACATTTTTTTTTCGATCCCCATAGCATTTATTGTCCCGTTATGACACCGTTAGCATCATGTGGTGGGAAGATAACACTTCCATGGAATCATCTATCTTTTTCCTTCATCCTGTCAAGGGCGGCTCTCACAGAGTGTAGTTCCTTAAAGAGAAGCTGCGATATCTGCGCCTTTCATCCCTGTCCCCGTTTAGGTTTCAGGGCCCCTAAATAGGATAAACAAAAATGTACCCACTTCCTCGCATGTCGTAATGGTCGACTGATTGAAGGCCTTACTCTAAGTCGGAGTACATCTGCATGAGGCAAGGAACTAACACTCTGCACATAAACATATCAGTACTGTAAGACGGATGGGTGCGCAACACTCAGGTTCTAGAATAAGACATAAAGCCCAAAGTGGACGAAAACCAGAGCGTTTTACTGGAGTTTAGAGCCGGTCAACACGAAGAAGAAGCAAAGCCTTTCACGACACTTTTGTTGTTGTTGTTGTTATCGATTCAGCGGCGCATGAGCTTTCGCCCTTTGGCCCAATGCCATGACTGAGTCTCGAGAGGCAGGGGGTAAGAAGTGTTGGTGTTGTGGGTAGTGGGTCCCCCCCACCTTACTTCACCCTAGGTCTAGTGAATATCTGTTCACGAAAGGAGCGTCCATTGTGGTGTCAGCCTCTTGACCTAGCAAAACCTCTCTTACCTCAAGACCATTGTGCGTGGCGAAGAGTCACAGCCTCCCCGAGGTAGTCCTGGTAACTGGGGGTGCGAATCCCCAGGCAAAACACAATGGATCTAGAGTAACAAACCTCGATAATAAACCCGGTGCACCACACCTTACTGCCCCCTGTGGGAGGGAAGGAACCAGAGGTGTGCTGAACAGTCTTAGGAATGGAAACAAGTATGCTAACCCCCCCCCCCCCCCCCCCCCCTGAATACCGGAAACTATCGTGAATGCACAGGGACTCAGGACGTGACGATCCAGTTGCCCCAACTACTCATGCTTAGGCCATGCTTAGAGCCATGAAGAGCTCAGCGAAACCTGCAGGCAATCTGGTGGCAGGGAATGAGCACACTGTGAGCCCCACCTTAGCTACGTGTTAAAGGGGAAGGCAGAAACACAACCCATATTTCCTTTAGAACTGGTACAGGGCATTTCTAGCTGCTGCCCGGGGAGGTAGGTCAGACACCCCAGCACCACAATGCCATGAATATGTCAAAATTTAAGACACTTTTGTTACATGTTAGTGGGTTCATTCCCCATCCCTTAAAAGTGGGGTCCTGGAACCGACACCAGAAGTCAAGTGCCCTCACCTAGTCTTCCATCGTTGTCCTCCTTCAGTTCCCGCCTCACAATCAGATGAGAGTTGTCGAGCTCTGATCGGGGATCGGTGGAGTCAAACACTCGCCAGTGACCTGGAGAACAAACAATCCAGCAGAAATTAATTGACGGACCCGACAATTGATTGATTCATACGTTGTTCATCGCCATTTCTTATGCTACAATTAACCTTTACCGTGTTGTATCCCTGCTTCTAATGCGTGGATTTTTATCGTGGTATGGGACGTCGCAGGTCGACCCAGCCTCAAATGGGTACCAGGATGGGCTGTCCTAGGAAAGTAAAGACGGCCGGCGTAATGCTGACCACATTACCCACCGAGTGCCGATTGGTCTGTGAAAATATGGGTGCTCTTCCCATATGCCCGATGCGCCTAAGGGCGTGTAAAGGGATCTTTACTTTTTTACTTATTTATCCCTGCTTCTAGTTGAGCATGCCTGTGAGTTACGGATGACCGCAAGGACAGCAACAACAACAACGCATGAATTAGTCAAAATAACCAGAATTGTCAACCAGAATTTGTCTCGCAAAGCTAAGGTACAGGTAAGAGTTAAAAGATGAGAGGATTGACTTCATTGCACCGGGTTTAAATCCACATGGCTCAGTCTCTCTTCGCAGAACAGCACATAGCACGATCTGTGTAGCTCCGACGACGATCTACAGGATCTCCGTAAAAACTGCACTCGTGAACTAAACGGCGCTACCGTGAAACGAACCCACGACCCTCAGATAGCGAGGCAAACAGCTTGACCATTTCGCTACGAAAAACTCTCGTGGAGTACGAGATTACTAAGGCGAGGTCGCGAGACCGTTCCAGTCGCCCCGTAGAAAGCTGTAATTTCAATCCATCAAAGAAGGTTACAAAGCATGTATTGCTTGGATGCTTATGCTCCAGTGACATGCTAAAGAGAAACTCAGAGAGAGTAGGCAGCACAGTGTTTCAGTAATGCTCTTGAAAACCCCACTGGTTTAGTCCAACTTAACGACTTGGAAAGCACAACCAATAGAAGAGGAAAGGACTGCCACGGAAAGGTACCAATCCTAACTAGAATTTGAACTAGACGTTGAAAGCACCTTGGGTATGGAGCTAGAGGAAACGGCACGATATCCCGTTCTGCAAAGTACTTTCTATTTGATGACGAAAGTGGCGAGACCCGTTCAATTAGCACGTTTTGGCGGTGTAGTCAAATTTAAGTGGTAACAGATATCTATTACACTGGAGACGGTATTACATAATATTTTCCTTCTCGCCGGTTACATTTTGAGAGTATGCGTGCGCAGCTAGAATAGTGTTATTAGTAACTGGTAGCTCTAACACATAACAGTTTCTGCATGACTGGCGTAAGCATGCAGGGAGCAAATTTCCCCCTCTATGTCAATATTGTTAACAAAATTGAAGTGCTGGGCGAAACGTCAACCAAGTGACGTAGTTGCAGCAAATTGTAAACAGTAATAGTAAATAGAAAGACAACGCATTTATCTTGTCCAATAGACAGTTTAAGATTCGAATGCAGCGGTTACATGAAGACCCCGTCATTGGATAACGACCATATTTCCTATATGTCACTTTGACATTAAATAAGGAGCATTCACTGTGAATACTTCCTTGACGACTTGTTTTTCCCCCTTCATAGCCACACTTTTCTCCAGACTGCCGTTCTAATGTATTCGGTATGCTAGAGGCGTCACCGCTTGGTCATACACTGCGACTTTGCACAAATACAGACGTTAATAAATGGTGTATAACGAAGGAGTTGCTTCTTGTGCGCGACTCCGGAGGAGCTAATATACATTTCTTTTGTGCAGCGTAGCCGGAATTTTGGGCACTCCCATGTCAAACAACCCAAAAATAGGGACGCTAACCTGCGATGCCTTCAACTAACCTATGACTATGGGCGGATGGGTCGTGTACATATGGTTTTGCCTTTTCTTTGTGATATAAGGGAAGTTAGAGTGCAGGGTGGAGCCGTCTCCCATCAGATAAAATTCAAACTTTGTCAATACCATTTATTAGGAGTGGGAATTGTGTTTCGTTTGGCTGAAACAGTGTGCTTCAACCCATAGACTCCGAGCCACTACCAAATGTTGTTGAATCAACAAACCAGCTAGCGTATATGGGTTTTCCTCTCCCACTCTGTAACATTACCACCTCAAAGACTTCGTGTATATGTCAACATACTAAAACCTTACTGAGTAATCAAATGGATGTTAGTTATTACATGGCTTCAGCTCTGCAAATCAAAATGTTGGTAACCCTTAGACAGCAGGAGGTGTCGAATTAAATAAAAAATTGTAATCTGGTGACATCGGATTGAACAAATAAACTTCTGTTTGCATTTGTTTTAACTTGTGTGTTTGATTAGTCCGTCAGGTTTGCAAAGAAAAGAATTCCCACTGTTGATTTGGGCCACGGGTGTAAAAAGTTTGAGCAGCACTGGTCTAAAACAGCCCGTTGGGTGAATATTTATATTGAATGTTGAGCAAACTGTGTCAGCCCATAGGCATTGTGGGAAAGCTGTGGTGAAGTTGGTTTGGTGCGCAAATACTACCGGGCAGAGGCAGCACTAGACCACCGATGTAAGCCAAATATTATGTTAGCCTTATAAGTCTAGGGCGGTTTCTAGCAGATCTTCAGAACCAATATTTCTAGTTGCTAATGTATGCTATCCTTGGCTAAATGTACATACTTTCTATAGACCGTAGAGGTATGTGATCTATCATCTTCTAGACAAGAATGTGGATCTAGCTGAGAGTACCTCTTGTCGGACCTTATTTACAGAGATTTACAATAGTATTGGCTCGTCCTTTCTTATTTTACCCCAGAGAAGGCGAGACAGTCAAACGGATGAAGAAAAAAGTATATAGTCACATAATAGGAGGTACCGGGTGGCCCGGGTGCTGATGACTGTTTGATCGGAGCTTTTCTCTTCTTTTCGTTGGTAGTTATATCTATCCACACCCTTCTGTCTCGTGTAATTTTAGTCAGCTCACTCACAGATGATCTTCCATGCCATGATGTCAGACTGTTTGATCGGAGCTTTTCTCTTCTTTTCGTTGGTAGTTATGTCTATCCACACCCTTCTGTTTCGCGTACTTTTAGTCAGTACACGCACAGATGATCTTCCATGCCATGATGTCAGACTGTTTGATCGGAGCTTTTCTCTTCTGGCGTTGGTAGTTATGTCTATCCACACCCTTCTGTTTCGCGTACTTTTAGTCAGTACACACACAGATGATCTTCCATGCCATGATATTATGCTGCCTGGTATCATCTCTGTTAGACAAAAAAATAAAAAAAAAAATCTGATTTCCCTCTGCCCCATTTAACCCCCCCCCCCCCCCCCCCCCCCCCCCCTTTTTTTCCCTAGTACCACAAGCTACTCATTTTCTTCTTTTCATGACGAAATCAGAGAATGTAAATTTTCTCCTTGTGATGTGGACAATTAGTTCTCTTCGTGAGTCAGTTGCTTTCAAGATCTCTTCACTATATTTTTTAATCTGTCTATGGTATTCCTGCTTCTTTTTGCCAGATACACACACCACACACACACACACACACACACACACACACACGCACACACACACACGATTATTCCTAATGTTCCCACAACCAATATTGTCTTGTGACCATGTTCTTAGTGCACTTGTATTCACACGCCGTCTGGAGGTGACAGGTTCAATTCCCGGCACGGCAACTATAGCTTTCGATTTTTATGTTGTCTAGTGTGTTCTTCTATCTTTCTTCTTTTTTTCTATGAGTGCCGATCAATACATTTTCTGTTACTTGATTAAACACACAGCTTCTTTCCCATTTGTGGTGTAATTTTGTATATTATTTCTTCACTTTGTATTTCGCATGCATTTTTTCGCTATATTACTCACTTAATAAGTGAGTACAACGAATGTGTGCTCACAAGAGCAAAAATACCATCAATGTATTGTATACTGAAGCAAAGACGTCTGCGCTGGCTGGGACATGTCTCCCGCATGGAGGATGGTCGTATTCCAAAAGATCTCCTATATGGTGAATTGGTAACTGGGAATAGACCTACAGAAAGGCCAAAGCTGCGCTATAAAGATGTATGCAAACGTGACCTAATAGATACCAACATAGGCACAGAGACATGGGGAAAATCAGCTGCAGATCGACTACTATGGAGACAGAAAGTGAAAGACGGACTGTCACATTTTGAAAGAAACCGAACACAACAAGCTGTGGAGAGGAGACACCGGAGAGTAAAACTGCCTCACAACGAAGGAGTATCTGCTTTTGTGTGTATCCTGTGTGGCAAAGACTGCCATTCCCGCATCGGACTTTACAGTCACAGCAGATGCTGTTCCCAAAGCCAGCGGCACATCTCCATAGTCCCCCGGGACTGACGGATGCCATTATAAGTTACAAGATTTTGTTCAAAATCCACTGCACCAGATGTTTTTGGTAAAGGTGGGAAAAGAGTTTTCAAAAAGGCATCATGTATATGTCCACTGTTATAAATATCATCAAGGCATCAGGTATATGTCCACTGTTATAAATATCATCGACAAATTATGTGAACACCTCTATAGTCAGTTCACCAACAGCTTTTATTACTTCACTAGTGATTTTATCTGTCCATAGAGACTTACATTTTATCCGGCCATGGAGACTTACATTTTATCTGTCCATGGAGACTTACATTTTATCTGGCCATAGAGACTTACATTTTATCCGGCCATGGAGACTTACATTTTATCTGTCCATGGAGACTTACATTTTATCTGGCCATGGAGACTTACATTTTATCTGGCCATGGAGACTTACATTTTATCTGGCCATGGAGACTTACATTTTATCTGGCCGCGGAGACTTACATTTTATCTGGCCATGGAGACTTACATTTTATCTGGCCGCGGAGACTTACATTTTATCTGGCCATGGAGACTTACATTTTATCTGGCCATGGAGACTTACATTTTATCTGGCCATGGAGACTTACATTTTATCTGGCCACGGAGACTTACATTTTATCTGGCCATGGAGACTTACATTTTATCTGGCCATAGAGACTTACATTTTATCTGGCCATGGAGACTTACATTTCTTTATGTGGTGAACAGCATCTTCCACTTCTTCTTTCAGTAGTGGCGGTCCTTCACAGAAATCACCAGTTTCCATGTTTCATCTGCCATCACCATCATATTCCTCTTTTAAAAACTTAGCTCAGCTTTTCTCCCTGTCTTACATTTAACACTGTTTCTCTATGTATTCTTTTACATTAGCCTTGTTTACATTTTCTTCTAATCTCCACCAGATGTTAAATTTCCTCTAGCAACCATTTTCTTTTTTCGCTGTTTTCATTGCTTCTAGTAACATTTCTATTGGTGTCTGTTGTTTTAGACTTTTAGCATTTCTCACTGTTCACTATACGGCTTATATTTTCAACAGCATTGCACCTATTTTGTACAAAGATGGCGGGTCTCTAACTCATTTCTAGATGTGATTCCAGTATCGCCAAATCCAGCCTGATATTTCTTGGACCTCCCCCCCCCCCCCCCCCCACCCCCCCCCCACCCCCCGCTTTCCTTGAGCATAATCCTTTTTTTTCCCAATGACTGGCTCACTATCGATACCGTACCGTATTTACTAATCAATGTCACTTTTTAACCAGTGTCCTTTGGTGCGCACAAGAAATGTCCCACTTCTCACACACGATGTTTGCTTGTATGTGATCAGATTGTCTAATATCCTACCAGATTTTGTCGCCACCAATATGTCAGTGCCATGTTCTGCCTGGAATATTATAGCTGATTAATATAGAATAACTGACTCGGCCATGTAAGAGAAGATCTGTTTTTTGTGATTAAATAACGCAACAGGAACGTCGACGAAGATAATAAAACATATTCCAACGCGACTGTCACAATCCTAGCCCGTGATTTCAATGACAATTGTTGTGGAATAATTGAACGCCCTATGGAAGACATGTGAATTAAAGGGCGGGAAGGCTACGGAGCCGTACCGTTGCATGAACTTGCGCTGAAGACCCGGCGTGTTCATCGTCCTAGCGCCATGATACCGTTGTTATCAAAGCAGTGATAGAGATCTCATTTTGTTGAACAGCCCTGACTCGTCTTTGACGTAGTAGGGAAGATGTATCGAAGTGTCCACATACCATTCTTTCTGTTTTGCCTCAAGGTGCAAGGAGTTGCATGGGTGTAAAATAAACAGTACTAGGACGCTTTACAACCGAAACCGCAATGCCATACATTCCTGCTAGTGCTGCTCGGTGCTGCTCGCTGCTCCGTACTGTACGCGTAACCATGCAACTTTCACTAGCTATACAAAACAGTGGGTGACTGGTCGTCTGCTGACCCAGCGCTGTTACGCTTTGGCCAGACGCCATACGAATGATGCCTGTTTGGACAACATACTTTGCTATTTTCTTAGCCATAAACAAGACAGTCTCACTATTTAAATGTCAGCCGCTGCATTTAATAGCAATTCAGCATACTATCATTATTATTACTACTGCTGTTGTTTCAAAATTAAACAAGGTTCAAGTTCCTAGATTATCATCAGACGATGAATTTATTAGCCGTTCATTATTAATTATTAATGTAATTATTGCCTGCTTAATCAAGGTTTAATGCCATTGATTCCCCGCCCTCTTAAAGATAACAAATAAAAGATTTCCTTTTTAGCCGTGCCACCAGTGACTGTATGTAACCTCAGCTCTGTGATAGCAACCCTTACATGCATTTGTATACCTTCCACACCCTAACTTCATGCATGTCATTATCGCCAACATGTATACCTCATGACGTCAGTCACGTCCGTTAGCAGGTTTCACAACTGGAAACGAAGGCACCTATTCGCTGAAAACTCCTAGATTGGGTTTTTATAACACCACACACTTGTAATACCAATGTAATTAAATCTCCTAGCCGACTAACCTTTCACCTTCGAAGCGGCATACATTTGAGAGTCTTAAGAAGCGATACAATATAACATTGACAATTAAAAACGTATTTAATGTGGTTAATTGTTAAATTTTTTTTTTTAGGGACAAGGGTACAGTAGTTGGGAATAATTGATTGTTTTGTGGGCTAGACATTCTTGTTGATTAAAATATATATATATATATTTAATATATGCAGCTGTGCATACCACGTAAATTGTGTTTGCTTTTGACATGCCTGCGTATTGTTTGATTGTAGACTCAAGTGTGGGCAGACATGCTAGATGTGATTGTGCTCCTCCACCCCTTCACCTCCAGTTTCTTCGGTTTTATCTTCTTCTTCTTCTTCTTCTTCTTCTTCTTCTTCTTCTTCTTCTTCTTCTTTTTTTCTTTCTTTTTTTTTCTTCTAGGACTTCTTCTTTCTCCTCTTCTTCTTCTTCTTCCTTCTTTTCTTTCTTCTTTTCTTCTTCTTCTTCTTCTTCTTCTTCTTCTTCTTCTTCTTCTTCTTCTTCTTCTTCTTGTTCTTCTTGTTCTTCTTGTTCTTGTTCTTCTTGTTCTTCTCTTATTCTTCTTCTTCTTCTTCTCTTCTTCTTCTTCTTCTTCTTCTTCTTTCTTCTTCTTCTTCTTCTTCTTCTTCTTCTTCTTCTTCTTCTTCTTCTTCTTCTTTTATTTTTCTTCTTCTTCTTCTTTATTTTTCTTCTTCTTCTTCTTTCTTCTTCTTCTTCTTCTTCTTCTTCTTATTTTTCTTTCTTCTCTTCTTTCTTCTTCTTTTTTTTCTTCTTCTTCTTCTTCTTTGCTCTTCTTCTTCTTTTTCTTCTTTTTCTTCTTTTTCTTTTTCTTCTTCTTCTTTTTCTTCTCTTCTTCTTCTTCATTCTTCTCTTCTTTTCTTCTTCTTCTTTTCTTCTTCTTTTTCTTCTTTTTCTTCTTCTTCTTCTTTTTCTTCTTCTTCTTCTTCTTCTTCTTTCTTCTTCTTTCTTCTTCTTCTTCTTCTTCTTCTTCTTCTTCTTCTTCTTCTTCTTCTTCTTCTTCTTCTTCTTCTTCTTCTTCTTCTTCTTCTTCTTCTTCTTCTTCTTCTTCTTCTCTCTTCTTCTTCTTCTTCTTCTTCTTCTTCTTCTTCTTCTTCTTCTTCTTCTTCTTTCTTCTTCTTCTTCTTCTTCTTCTTCTTCTTCTTCTTCTTCTTCTTCTTCTTCTTCTTCTTCTTCTTCTTCTTCTTCTTCTTCTTCTTCTTCTTCTTCTTCTTCTTCTTTTTCTTCTTCTTCTTCTACCACCACTACCACCATCACCACTTCTACCCCTACTTCTATTACTACTACCCCTGCCGCTTCTGCTGCTGCTGTTGCTACTACTGCTGCTACTACTACTAATTCTTTCTCCAATTCTTCTTCTTCTTGTTCAACAACATCAAGAACACCAGCAGCAACAATAGACACTACTACGACTACTGCTACCAATATTATTTAGTACTACGATTCTACTGCTGCTACTACTATTTCTACTACTGCTACTAATATTATTTACTGCTGCTATTTCACTACCACTACTACTCCTACTACTGCCACTATGATAATTTACTGTTAATATTACTACTACTACTACTACTACTACTACTACTACTACTACTACTACTACTACTACTACTACTACTACTACTACTACTACTACTACTACTACCACTACTACTACTACTACTACTACTACTACTACTACTTCTACTACTACTACCACTACTACTGCTGCTGCTGCTACTGTTATTACTGACATGAACCACCTAACAGCGACTTGACCTCTGTCCCGTAATGTCGAAAGGAACAATGGTGTATGTGGTGCAGCATTAACTATATGCCCCTAGTAGGGGACAGAGTGGTACTTACCTAGAGACATGACTAGAACCAAAGCCAACACCCAGTAGGGGACAGAGTGGTACTCACCTAGAGACACGACCAGAACCATAGCCAACACCCAGTAGGGGACAGAGTGGTACTCACATAGAGACACGACCAGAACCATAGCCAACACCCAGTAGGGGACAGAGTGGTACTCACCTAGAGACACGACCAGAACCACAGCCAACACCCAGTAGGGAACAGAGTTGTACTCACCTAGAGACACGACCAGAACCACAGCCAACACCCAGAGGTTGAGGCACACAAGGGTCACCTTGACGAGAGTCACGATCGACCTGAACATACTCTTTCTTAGTCTCATGAAGCACTTACTGCAGGTCGCGCATCGTTCTGTGGAGTAATCAGTCATTCAATCAGCGAATCAACAAGATATTGCCATGGTAACAGAGGCAGGGACATTCTTATCAAATACGTCCAGGACTTTGGGAAACTGTGCCTTTAAGGAACCTTTGACTGGAAACTTATTGTCAACAATAATTAATTGATGAATTGCAAGCTAGATGTTGTAACCATAATTTATCAAACACAAACAGACAATGTACTGATCGACGCTCGTAGAAAGCAGTAGAAAGAGAGAAGGACACACTAGACAACATCAAAATCCAAAGCTATAGCTACCGTGCCGGGGAATCGAACTCGCAAATGGCATGTGCGCCTTGCTTTGAAAACAATTGTGCTAAGATACATGAGCAACTTGGCACCACTAATAAATGTGTCTTCACTGGCCATGTCTATCGCACAGCCTGAAATCCACATCAATGAAATATGGACAGAATTCGCCTCAAACCATTGAACTGGCACTACATGTTACATACATTTATATTAACTAAGGATATGTCAAATAACCAAAATAACAACAATTATCAACACATCGGAACGTAACGCTGTGTCTAGAACACAACGAATATTCAAGAAAAGAGATCTGATTGCTCTCATCCGATCAATATATATATATATATTTTTTTATGACATGTTATTACTCTACCGCCTCAAAGGTTCTCCCTCTGTTTTTTTTTTTTAAAGGTGAAATCGATTTTGTAGGGCTCCTTTGTTGGCTAGTGAACAATGCAGAAGCAAAGATGGATCATCGTGGTCAGAAGATAATGGTGCTGCGAGGATTGACTAGGGGTATCTGGTCGACGATCAGCGCTTAAAGAGAAAGGTGACACGGGTATAAAATCAAACTGTTATTGGTACCACTGGAATTGAACTCTGCGCTTGCTGCTGAAAATGGCGACGGTGGGTTTACGGAAATGTTTCGAGTGCTGTGATGTCGATTGTTAATTACTCATTAAACCTTACTGGCAACAAACAGCCGACTGATGAGAACACAGATTTCAATAATGCTGTCGTCTGCACTGATGAATCGGTCACCAGGGGCATTTAAAATGCATGGGCGTTCACTGTTAGCGCAAAGGGAAACAACCATCAAGCATATATGAGTGGCGCCTTTGCTGTTACAGCCAGTAGCCTTCAATGGAGACCATGGCTACAACAAGGAGGTTGACATGGCTGGGTACCCCAGAATTCAGACACACAAGCACACAGAGCGATTCGATGAATAAACTCAAGCAAATCCAGGCCGACTTTATCATTCAAAAATGGATTCTCTCATTTCAAAATATTACAAAAAAGTCGCCACAACTTTATTTTCGTGCCGGTGTTCAAGGTTATAAATTTGCAGATTATCTGACAGACAAGCTGGTTACCACGACTGGCCCGGCAATGGATAGGAAGTATGTTATTAATGCTACGAGAAATGGATGATGGGAAGAAGATCAGAACAACCAGCAGAATTCAGTATCCTTATCCATGGGGATGCAGACACGGACATTTTACCAAAGGCACAAGACGTCTGATTAATCAATGTAAAACCCGTGTGATCTGTCGTTTTGCTCTTGTGGAGTAACTGAGCAGGGAATCGGAGCACTTACGGATCTACCCGGAGTGCTGTGATGACAGTGCTCACTAATCCCGTATTGGCAACACGCATCACAACAAAATTGTGGGCACTCATGATTATCAGTCAGCACCATACGGCACGAATCGCTAGCAAGAGCAAGTTTAGCGGGCAAGAGCCAACACGAGTATAAGTGACGTCCATCTGTCTCTTTAGTGCTTTCACCAGGACACACACAACACCGACGTGCTTTCACCAGGACACACCCAACACCCACGTGCTTTCACCAGAACACACCCAACACCGACGTGCTTTCACCAGAACACACCCAACACCCACGTGCTTTCACCAGGACACACACAACACCCACGTGCTTTCACCAGGACACACACAACACCCACGTGCTTTCACCAGAACACACCCAACACCCACGTGCTTTCACCAGGACACACACAACACCCACGTGCTTTCACCAGAACACACCCAACACCGACGTGCTTTCACCAGAACACACCCAACACCCACGTGCTTTCACCAGGACACACACAACACCGACGTGCTTTCACCAGGACACACCCAACACCCACGTGCTTTCACCAGGACACACCCAACACCCACGAGTGCTGAGATTGGATATAATCTCATGAAGGCGCCCAACCCTTCAATTATTGACTTATTTGGAAAATGCTCTCATTATATTTTAATGAACTAAGTTCTTGTCAGTTTGTGAGAAACATTTCTATACTCTCCAGGCTCGCAAAGTCGCAGTGACTTGGAATACGAGGCGAAAAGACCTGTCAGTTGTCACCTATACGTCGATAGACATCGTGTAACAAACTTCAGATTTGCCATGTATTATCAGATCAAGGGAGATCAATGAAGCGAGGATGTCACACATGAGCGGTACATGTGTACTGGGTCTATTTAACCAGCATATAGAAATGTATTGATCCTAACAAATCACTGACACGTGACTACTGGTACTGCCTTACCGTTTTTGTGGTACCCCAATATAACCTGCTAAATGTCTTTACAGTTGGGTGGGCTTTCAGGAATTTGTACCTATGTGGGTCTCATCTTTGAGATGAAAATCTGAAGGGGGACAAAAACTGTTTATGAAAAAATGGTTTGACTGGCATTCATAGAAATAAGTAGAGAGATGTTGAGAAACCCAAGGTGATGCGTCATTGCAAGGTGACGAGTTCGATTCCTGGGATGGTAACTTTCGCTTTCGGTTTTTATGTTGCCCACTATGTCCCCCCTGGCGTGCTGCTGACCACATCTCCGACTGGTCTATAAAATATAGGTCTAGCCCTATTTGCCCATATGTTCTAAGGCGTGGAAAAAGTGTCTTGTACTTTTTTTTACTGTGTCTTGAATTTATACTTGTTTTTATGAGTGACAATCAATACATATCCTTTTGTTTATTATATGTGATGTTTTAACGGCTTGGGAGAGAAGGGGGGGGGGGGGGGGTTCCCATTTGTTAATGTTAATGTATGTTTGTCACGTATTTTCTGGTGGGCTCATGAATCGTAGAACCATTTTTGGCCGTACATTTTAATGACGCCTTAGAATTCTGCAACGACGCAAACCTGTCCAGGTGAACTAACTGCAACTGCGTAAAACTTGGTCCGTAGAATTACCTGTACATAGATACGATGTAGGGAGCATTTTATAACACTGGAGTAGCCTATCAAAGTGCAATCACGATTTTCATATCTGCACACATTAGACATTCAAAAGTTATCTGTTAATCTGCGCCTGCTTCCAAAGCGGCAAACCGTTCATGGGAATAGAGACCGAGGCGGACATAAAGGGTCTTGCTGATTAGCAACTGTTGTCATCGCTACAATAAAACGTGGAGACTTGTAGATAAATTATGGACATTTGAGATCACTGGAATAGCCTGAGCAGGTATTAACTGGCACTTACAAATCAGAAAAGGGGAAGAGAGAACGTATGATGATACATCATTAGTGTAAAAATTCAAATTAGAGAACACACATCTAACAATACAGGATCCAACAGTCATCTAAAACAAATTAGAGTGGCGATATAGAGAACAGAGAATACAGTAGTCCAGTAAAGTTAAATTAGAGAAGGGAAACAGTGAATAGAAGACACAACAGTCATGCAAAACAAAAAGGCAAAGGGAGATTCGAGGATACAACACTCATTTAAATATGAATTATAGAATGTAAAATAAAGAAAATAAGATACAACACTCATTTAAATATGAATTAGAGAATGTAAAATACAAAAAATAAGATACGGCACTCATTTAAATATGAATTAAAGAAGGTAAAATAAAGAAAATTAGATACAGCACTCATTTAAATATGAATTAAAGAATGTAAAATAAAGAATATAAGATACAGCACGCATTTAAATATGAATTAGAGAATGTAAAATAAAGAAAATTTGATACAGCACTCATTTAAATATGAATTAGAGAATGTAAAATAAAGAATATAAGATACAAATTCTCATTTAACAATAAATTAGAGAAGGGAAAAATAGAATATTAGGATACAGTATTACAATAGTCATGTAACAAAACATAAGAGAAGGGGACAAGAGAATATAGCATACAATAGTCATGTAAAAAATTATTGAGAAAAAGAGAATAGAAAATACAACAGTCGGTTAAAAAAAAGTAAGAGAAGGGAAATAGAGAATATATTCTTCTTCTTCTTCTTCTTCTTCTTCTTCTTCTTCTTCTTTTTCTGCATTCCCCCCCCCCCCCCGCCCACCCCAGTGGGGCAAAGGCCCTCATCCATCTCATTGCAATTTGTTCTATCCTTAGCTATCGTATACCTCTCTCCTCATGACCTCCTCAGTCTAAACCAGACTCTCTAGTTCCCTTCATGTTTTTTCTTTGTCTTTACCCCTGAGGTTTCCATTGCAAGGACACTCTAGTTTCCAGGGCTTCTCAAAGTGTGCCTTCTCCAGCGAGAGCTTCTTTGGTTCACCTCTTGGTCCACTGTAAGTTGTTTAATTCTCTCCCAAAACTCGACAGTAGTGATTCCATCGTTCCATTTAATTTCCATCTATTCCGCGCAGGCACCAGCTAATGAATATTTGTAGCTTTTTTTTTTTTAAATTAAAGTAATTGCTTTGTTCTCCATTCTTCCGCTCCATAAAACAGTACTGATTTGACATTAGAACTTAAAAAAAAATTAGTTAAATATTAGTTTTAATTTATTTTAGCATCCACAAATTGCCTAGTACTATGAAATCTCCCTTTGCCTTTAAGACAGGTATTTTAATATAACTATCAGTCCCTCCCCCCCCCTTCCCCCGTCTTTATCAACACTCCTGGGCAAAAAAGGTGTTCGACTCCTTGGAGTCTTGGAGGGGGATGGTGTTCAGAGAAACCACATCGCTATGTGCCTGATTGATTCTCATTATCTGCGCCTTTCCCCTGTAGCTTTTCAGACCAAGCTGTTGTGATCTGGCATCAAGTAATTTAATTTATCTTGCAACTGATTCCGTGAGTGGGGCAGGAGAGAAACGTCAGCAGCAGGCCCTTGTCTCACCCGTGCCTTCACGGGAAGCAAAGAATAGTAGCATTGTACCCTACCAGGCATGTCGTAAGAGGCGACTAAGGGTTGTATACCTCATCCTGTAAAACAGGCACAAAAGCCAACTAACCATTGACAAGAAATACAATTAGCTGTGTAAAAATAAATAGAGAATTAGATGGCGAATAGAGGGAGAGGGTCCAATGGTCATGAAAACCAACAATAGACAAAAGACCAGGTTAGCCCAGTGACGTATTAGGCATATGGTGTTAGACTAATGGGCATGGGTGGGGGAGGGGTGATGTGGTCAACATTATACCGGTCGCCTTTACTTCCCAGGAAATATCGTCTACCGTGTTTGCAATACTTACGTACAAACACACAAATGCTCACATAAATATACACACACTTAAATAAATAAATACATACATACACACTTACATACATCATTCATTGTCATCATTGACACCTTTCCGTCTTTCTAGATGATAGTGTTATATTGCGCTAGAGGAGCCATGCGACTCACAGCCCATGGCGATGGCGAGTGTGACTAGCAAGACCGGCCCGTGTCAAGAAAAGTCTTCCACAATGATAGCATGGGTTTTCAGGACCATTGTTAACAACATTTGTGTTAAATCCGTTTTCGTTTGTGCATCTGTTTTACAGGTTTGACTCATTTGTGTGCAGACTGCTGGTTCCTTGCCTCCTAGACAGATGCACTCCGACTTCGAATGAAGCTCCCAATTAGTCGACTCTTACGACATTCTTTTAGGTAGGCAGTGGGTCTGTTTTTCCCCCTATAATAGGACCCCGGAAACCACACAGGGATAAACATAAGCGTATAAAAAGAAAATAATAAAGACATAATAAACGAAACGACGATTTCGTATTCACAGTACCCACACACATCCTACCCGGCAAGAACTTACTCCACAATCTCTTAGACATCACTGGCTGCACACTGACATCGTAGAAATTGTGATACGATCATTAAATACCCGCATTGTGGTGTGACATAACGGCAAGAGGCTTCCTATGTCCCGTTATATCAACTGTCATTGGGTGTCCGAAGTAACGGTGGGGGTCGGCGTCTGTTGGCTGTGACAAGAAGTTGTATGTGGCGTGTCAGAGTCGGCTGTGTGGTTCGGCGAGAAATGGGGAGTGACAAGTCTATGTGAGGTATTACAGTCGGCTGTGTGGATCGGCGATAGATGGGAGTGACAAGTCTATGTGAGGTATTACAGTCGGCTGTATGGATCGGCGATAGATGGGAGTGACAAGTCTATGTGAGGTATTACAGTCGGCTGTGTGGATCGGCGATAGATGGGAGTGACAAGTCTATGTGAGGTATCACAGTCGGCTGTGTGGGTCGGCGATAGATGGGAGTGACAAGTCTATGTGAGGTATTACAGTCGGCTGTGTGGATCAGCGATAGATGGGAGTGACAAGTCTATGTGGGTCGTCCCAGTCGGCTGTGCGTGTCGGTGATAAATAGAGAGTGACACATCTGTGTGGGCTATCAGAGTCGGCTGTGTGGGTCAGCGTTAGATGGGAGTGACAAGTCTATATGGGGTGTCCCAGTCGGCTGTGTGGGTCAGCGTTAGATGGGAGTGACAAGTCTATATGGGGTGTCCCAGTCGGCTGTGTGGGTCAGCGTTAGATGGGAGTGACAAGTCTATATGGGGTGTCCCAGTCGGCTGTGTGGGTCAGCGTTAGATGGGAGTGACAAGTCTATATGGGGTGTCCCAGTCGGCTGTGTGGGTCAGCGTTAGATGGGAGTGACAAGTCTATATGGGGTGTCCCAGTCGGCTGTGTATGTCCGCGAGAGATAGGGAGTGAAGTCTTGGTAATCTTAGTTTCAGCTTCATAGCAAACGGGTCACCCCATAGTTGCTCCGCTCCTGTGCCAACGAAAAACACACGGAATGTTTATCACAGTCCCTTGTGGAAAGATTGACAGACTGCTGTCTCAGCATCTGCACTAGCATACGCATTTAAAGCATACGGTAGCCATCAGAAATGCTAACACATTAGAAATGCAGTTTATCATCGACGGTAGCAGAAGTTACCAACAAAATCAGCGGTTGCACACGCGATCAATTTTAATCACATAAGGTCACCACCAATATAGCGACGACAGAAAACGCGCCATTTTCTGAATCTACAATTCACACCACCACGTTGGTCACAGTCGAAAAACATTTCAAATTAAATCCGTAGCTTACAGTGTCACGCTTTGCACTTAGCTCAGTAGCTGGGCGACGAAACTATATCCTTTCAGTCTACATATGGAGCAACAATGCAACGGCCACCGTCTGGTAGAAGCAAAAAATCTGCATGACTCAAAACAGTGACCGTGCCTAGCGTCAATAGTGACCGGAAGCCTAAGTAAAGTCTATGTGGGATGTCACTGCTTTGTTCTGCTGAGTGTACAGGTATGTGTCTGGGTTTATGCTGTGCTGGCAAATACAGAAGTTGGTGTTTCGGTCAGTCAGACAACAGCGATATAAATAGTAATTGTAGTAACAAATGTCCCAAACTGTGAATACATTTAGGTTAGCTGCGTATCCTTTGCAGGACGTTGCAGAACCAACAGTAACAGCCCCTGGCTGTTGTGTGGTTTCTCTAGGCAAATTTACGTCCAGTAGTTTGCCATTACTACTGGACGGTCGGCTTTCTTGATCCACTGTCGAAACCAACGCAAGGCGCGTGGCCCGCAGCTGGGATCGAACCCGGCATCCCGACATTACGAAGCGTTCGCATCGACGTAGCCACAGAGCCGACCTACATAGGATCTTTAATTAACAGCAATGGAGACTGTTCAACAGAAGCCGAAAGGAGGATGGCCATAGAAATCGAAAGAGTGAATCGAATTAAAAGTCTTTAGTTATGCACCAGCAGGGAGATCAAAGTTAACATTTTGAGAGCATGTATTTTGCCCCATACTAACATATGAGTATCAGTCGTGGACTATCTCGCAGTCTTAAGGAACACAACAGGGACTTCGAGGTGAAATGCCACAAAAAGATTCTCCGAGTACCATGAAGAAAGAAGAACAGAAATACTAAAAAATCTAAACATCAAGGAAGGTTAACTGGTAAACAGCATCTTGTCCCAGAAGCTAAATTATCGGTAAATCCACGGCGGATTGACAAAAATAAAATAACAGAAAGTATAGTACCTAGAAGGAGGGGCAGGGGCCGTCCAGCAATAAGATGGGCACAGGATATAAATGACTAATTGGACATAAGGGTGCATGAGTTGGAAGAGCTGGCTAGAGACTAAGTTTCTTTCAGGCAGACCGTGATGAGAGCGACGTTCTGCAAAGGACCTGCTTCATGATGATGATGATGAGTTGTAGTAACAATATGTGTCGTAGCAGTAGCTGTACTGTAATAATAACAACAACGCAATTGTAGTACTAGGAAAAGGCTGAGAAGCAGAAAAAGACACCGATCACAAATTGTTATTATGGGATATTTTAGTTACTAATTACTGACTCCTATAATTATGTTAGACGGGGATATAAATCAGCTCAAATGTAACCCACTCAAAACACCCCGACCCCTTTTACCTGTAGTAGGATCCGCTAATAGAAGGGCCCATTCAGAGAGAAGGAGGATTGGGTCATTGTGAACCCCGGATCAGTTGTGGCTTCAGATTAAACAAAGAAAACTGTTGAATGCAGAAGAGTGATTCATGGATCTGAAAATAGACCTGCTGCTTTGGACATTTGGGACTTCACATCTGGAATGTGCGTGAAATCACACCTAGAAGTTGGTGGAACTGCGTCGTTTCTGGCTAAAGATGTGTAGGGTGGGGAGTTCAACAACCGGACTAAGGCGTTTCTGGTTGGAGACTAATGATTGTTGCCAAATGGTTGTAAGAGAAAGGAGTGTGTGGTAGGAAAGGGGTAGGTGGAGGGGAGACGGAAGAGGGCGAAGGAGGAGAAGACAGTCTGAGAAATAATTAATAAAAAGCTATTGTAATGACAAAATGAAGGAGGAGGAGGAAGAAGAGGAGGAAAAGGAGGAGGAGGAAGAGGAGAAGTAGAAAAGAAGAAGAAGAAGAAGAAGAAGAAGAAGAAGAAGAAGAAGAAGAAGAAGAAGAAGAAGAAGAAGAAGAAGAAGAAGAAGAAGAAGAAGAAGAAGAAGAAGAGAAGAAGAAGAAGAAGAAGAAGAAGAAGAAGAAGAAGAAGAAGAAAAAGAAGAAGAAGAAGAAGAAGAAGAAGAAGAAGAAGAAGAAGAAGAAGAAGAAGAAGAAGAAGAAGAAGAAGAAGAAGAAGAAGAAGAAGAAGAAGAAGAAGAAGAAGAAGAAGAAGAAGAAGAAGAAGAAAAAAAAAAAAAGAAGAAGAAGAAGAAGAAAAAGAAAAATAAGAACAAGAAGAAGAAGAAAAAGCAAAGATGGGGAAGCAAGATAGGGGAATGGATGAAGTTGCGTTGTAAACAGAGAGTAATAAAACACTGAATCTCCTTATTCTCCTTCACCCCCCATCCACCTCCACTCATTCTTCCAATATTATTGTGAAATTTCTGGGCGTACCTCAGTTCACCCCCATCCTCCACCTTGTCTGACAACCGAGTGAATGACCAATAGATAATGCAAATTATGTTTATCTTGGCTCTAAACATACAAGATAATAATCAGAGAGGCTGTTAGCAAAGTCAATACTAGACAAAACATTCTTAGACACACTTCATTCTGCTTATCGTTGTTTCTTATTCTTTAACAATTCTGTCATCATAAGCACATCATCATTATCGTCGTTATCATCATCGTCGTTATCATCATCATCGTTATCATCATCATGTGGCTTAACATTAGGTGGTTGTGCCTACTAGCAGATTTCGATTGTTTTTTTCCCCTCAAAATTTAGTTCGTCGATTGTATTATTTACACTAACGTAATAAATTGTATATTTTCCACTAAAGTAATAGACTGTATAGTTTACGCTAACATAATAGATTGTCTTCTTTACCCTAGCGTAATAAATTGTATACTTTCCGCTAACGTAAAATATTGTATACTTTAGGCTAACGTAAAAGATTGTATACTTTCCGCTAACGTAAAAGATTGTACACTTTACGCTAAAGTAAAAGATTGTCCACTTTCCGCTAACGTAAAATATTGTATACTTTCCGCTAACGTAAAATATTGTATACTTTAGGCTAACGTAAAAGATTGTATACTTTCCGCTAACGTAAAAGATTGTATACTTTCCGCTAACGTAAAAGATTGTATACTTTCCGCTAACGTAAAAGATTGTATACTTTCCGCTAATGTAAAAGATTGTACACTTTACGTTAAAGTAAAAGATTGTACACTTTCCGCTAACGTAAAAGATTGTATACTTTCCGCTAACGTAAAAGATTGTATACTTTCCGCTAACGTGAACGATTGTACACTTTACGCCAAAGTAAAAGATTGTACACTTTCCGCTAACGTAAAAGATTGTATACTTTCCGCTCACGTAATAGATTGTATATTTTACGCTTAGGTAATAGATTGTATACTTTACGCTAACGTGATAAATTGTATACTTTCCGCTAACGTAATACAACCGCTGAACCATTTTTCTTGCGCTGCTCTTGCCTCTTCTACCGTAGATATTTCTAATGTCACTATGTTCTGTAATGTCTTATTATATCATGACCAAACACTAGTCCCAGCCAACCCTGTTAGTAGCGGAAGGGTAAGTAGAGATGCCAATGTAGTAGTGACCATTGAATAAGCCAGATTTCTTGAGTGTTTACTGACCAAACACTAAAAGTAAGAGAAGATATTAAGCTATGGTGGAGATTTATCAGACTGAACGGTCCACGCATACGTTGTGTGGGACTCAAAGATAGGTGCCGATCATGTTCTACTGTTACTTGAGGGAAGTAGAATAATGAAAAGAAGGTGGAAAAAAAAGAAGGAAGAAGAAGAAGAAGAAGAAGAAGAAGAAGA